ACACTGCCCTTCTTTTGAATTATAGCCACCAGATCCAAGATATTAATTTAACAAAATAGTTTTCCAATGCCACAGAATTATGCCTCAATCTGCATAAATGTGAATTATTTTGATAAAAAAATTGTCAAGACAAATTCATTGACACTATTCCTGTTAAAGAGTCTCTTACTTATTTAGGCATAATTATTAAAAAAATGAAAATGATAGAGTCTCTTTTAACATTAATCCGCTTATTGAAATAGCTAAAAATCGTTTTAACAGTTGGTTACAAAGAGATCTTTTATTAAGAAGCCGTGTCTTATGAACCAAAGCTGAAGGTATTTCTAGGCAGACATACATATCTTTCTTTTTACATACGATAAAAAAATAAACAAGATAACTGATCAAATAATAATACAATTCTAATGGAAAAATCGAGTGCATTTTATTAAACAGTCTGTGATAGTTAATTCATCCAAAGACTGTGGTTTAGACTATTTAGACTTCTCTTTTTAACACCTTCTTAATTAAATGGCTAAAAAAATTTTTTAATAATTACTCCTCATTTTGAAATATAGTCTCTAAAGTTGTACTTGATCGCATGGTTGGTCTTCCTTTCTTAATGTTGTGTGACTATAAAGAATAGAAACTTCCTATTAAACTTTCAGCCTTTCACAAACAAGCTCTTTTAGCTTGAAAATTAATATACAAACATAACCTCTCATTCCCAGAGATGGGTTGTGACTGGAAGGGCATCCGCTGTGTAAAATGTGCTGGATAAGTTGGTGGTTCATTCCGCTGTGGCAACCCCGGATTAATAAAGGGACTAAGCTGACAAGAAAATGAATGGATAAATGAACATAACTTATCCCCATTCTAATGTTATATTTGGAACAACGGTAATATTTTGTACAAACATAAAAGCTTGTTCTTAAAAAAATTGGTTTAAAAAATATATTTTTTTGGTGGGACAGGTACCAAATTCACAAAGTTACTTAATGTCTTATGAATCATTTTTCACATTATAATTTTCCTGTATCCCATAAAGAATTTGCAATGGTTGTTGATGCTATTCCCCTATGTATTGTCTCACTATGTAAAAGTTCATAATAAAATTTTAATTGGAAAAAGGTATGGTCGTTGCCTAACAAATTCTTTATTACAAACAAATTTAAAGAGGTCTTATTTTAAATTCTGCATAAATTTAACCCTATCAAACATTTTCTTTCCATGTTCAGACAGGATATAGATCAAAACTTTTCATTTTGTTTGTCACAGCCAGAAACTGTGCCGCATATTTTTTTTGAATTGCCAGTTCTTGAAGAAAATATGGTGAGAGATGACTAATTTCATAAATGACAAATTATCGCCATAGGTTTTTGAACTACAACAAAAAATAGAGAAAGACGCTTATGTTATTAATTTTTTGATAATATAAGTACCATATTCACAGATGAAAATTTAATAAACAAAAACCATTTTATCCTGCTATACTAATTGATTCAAAACATACAAACAACATAAAGCAAAGCACTTATAAAGTAGCCATCAAAACCGCTTTTTTTACTTGAAACCTTCAAGATCTTATAATCTCACAAGGCCCTTTTCTGTTACTATGTATACTTACACATTATATGTCTTATATGTTTTGTTCTGTACACCCCTGACATTTTTTTTAAAATTATTTTCCATTTCTTTTTTGTACTGTTCTAAATGTTGTTCTTTAAGAATTAATAATAAATAAAAATAAATAAATAAATAAATAAATAAATAAATAAATAAACAACCACATTTTTGTTTCAGATTATCCAGTGTTGTTTTTATGTCTCATTCTACGTGCCGCGAGATAGGAAATGACATTTACATTTTACACCCGTGTAAAGAAGTGGGGTAGAGAAGAGAAGAGAAAGAGAGAGAGAGAGAGAGAAAATGTTCATTAATTATCAACATTAGCCAAGTCATTATATTAAGAAAGACTAAGATTCAACTGGTAATAAATGGAACCACAAGAACAACAACAGGTAAAAAAAAAAAAAAGTAATAAAAAGAAAATCTAAAGAAGAAAATCAATCAAAACATAAATATTTCAAATTAAATAAAAGAGAATTTTAGTAAGAATTTGTAACAATTAACAATATATATATATACAATATATATATTTACAATATATCAAATATACTTTATATCAAAAGTAGTGTTTCCCAGTACTGGGTTGTGGCTGGAAGGGCATCCGCTGCGTAAAACATATGCTGGAATAGTTGGCTGTTTATTACTCTGTTTTAAAGAAAATGGGTACATTTAAAGAAAATGGGTGATCCATACTCTGTAAAACTTTCTAAATTATTTCAAATTTAATTCTTAACCCAACTTTTGGGTTCATCCAAATTTAACCCAGGTTTGATCATTTATATAAATTATTTGTCTTTATATTCATTCATTTTCTTGTCGGCTTAGTCCCTTTATTAATCCGGGGTCGCCACAGGGGAATGAACCGCCAATTTATCCAGCAAGATTTTACGCAGCGGATGCCCTTCCAGCTGCAACCCATTTCTGGGAAACATCCACGCACGCATTCACACACACACTCATACACTACGGACAATTTAGCCTACCTAATTCACCTATACCGCATGTCTTTGGACTGTGGGGGAAACCCGAGCACCCGGAGGAAACCCACGCGAAGGCAGGGAGAACATGCAAACTCTACACAGAAACGCCAACTGAGCCGAGGTTCGAACCAGCGACCCAGCGACCTTCTTGCTGTGAGGCGACAGCACTACCTACTGCGCCACTGCCTCGCCTCTTCTTTATATTCATATTTAAAATATTTTTATGTATTATATACAGTATTAAAATATTTTAATTATATACAGTTGGAGTAAAAATTATATTTCCCAAACAATGTTTAAAAAACAAGTACAATTTTCACATTAGTTCATTTATATTGTTGTCTGCATTGACATACAAGTCAAAGAAGATTTAAAAGTCCCTACTTTCTTTTTTCATTTGCCTTTTCCATACTGTCCCATTTTTTTCTGATTTGGGGTAGTAGTTAAGCCTTTAAAATAAATAACTAAATACTAGTATCTTGAAAAATATTTAGTAAAATGTTATGTTTTCGAGGTTATTTGAGATTTCTTATAAAACTATTATGTTTAGAAATGTGTTAAAATCTTAGAAAGTTGGGGGAAAGAGAAATTAGGAGAAATACATGGGAGGCTAATAAGTCTGATTTTAGCTGTGTTTATACAGTGCATTTGGTAAGTATTCATAGCACTAAATTTTTCCCACACTTTTTATGTTACAGCCTTATTCCAAAATTGATTAAATTAATTTATTTTCTCAAAATTCTACACACAATACCCCATAATGACAATGTGAACAAATAGTTTTTGAAATTGTTGCAAATTTATTAAAACTAAAAAAGCTGAATAATCACATGTAAATAAGTATTCACAGCCTTCGCCGTGAAGTTCTAAATTGAGCTCAGGTAAATTCTGTTTCCACTAATCATTCTTGAGAAGTTTCAAAAGAGTTCACTTGCAATGAATTCAGTTGATTGGACATGATTTGAAAGGGCATACACCTATCTCTATAAGGGGCCCAGGGTTGACAGTGCATGCCAAAGCACAAACCAAGCATGAAGACAAAGGAATTTTCTGTAGACCTCAGAGAGAGGATTGTCTTGAGGCACAAGGCTGGGGAAGATTACAGAAAGATTTTTGCTGCCCTGAAAGTTCAAATGAGCACAGTGGCTTCCATCATCCATAAGTGGAGGATGTTTGGAACCACCAGGATGCTTCCTAGAGCTGGCCGGCCATCTAAGCTGAGTGATCGGGAAGAAGGGCCTTAGTCAGGGAGGTGATCAATACCTCGATGTTTACTCTGTGTGAGCTCCAGTGTTCTTCTGTGGAGAGAGGGGAAATTAACAGAAGGACAACCATCTGTATAGCAATCGACCAATCAGACCTGTATGGTAGAGTGGCCAGATGGAAGCCACTCTTTAGTAAACGGCGCATAGCAGCCCACCTGAAATTTGCCAAAAGGCATCTGAAACGAAATTCTCTGGTCTGATGAGACTAAAATTGAGCTCTTTGGAGTGAATGCCAAACGTTACGTTTGGAGAAAACCAGACACCGCTCATCACCAGGCTAATAGCATACCTACAGTAAAGCATGGTGGTGGCAGCATCATGCTGTGAGGATGCTTTTCAGTAGCAGGAACTGGAAGACTAGTCAGGATAGAGAGAAAGATGAATGCAGCAATGTACAGAGACATCCTAAATGAAAACCTGCTTCAGAGTGCTATTGACCTCAGACTGGAGCAACAGCTCATCTTCCAACAGGACAATGACCCAAAGTACACCACCAAAAAATCAATAGAGTGGCTTCACAAAACTCTGTGAATGTCCTTGAGTGGCCCAGCCAGAGTCCGGAACTAAATCTTATTGAACAGCTCTGGAAAGATCTGAGAATGGCTGCAAACCATCGCTTACCATAAAGCTTGAGAGGTTCTGGAAAGAGGAAAGGGCAAAAATTCCCAAAATAGGGTGTGCCAAGCCTGTGGCATCATATTCAGAAGACTTGAGGCTGTAATTGCTGCCAAAGGTGCATCAACAAAGTATTGTGCAAAGGCTGTGAATACTTATGTACATGTGATTTTTCAGCTTTTTCATTTTTTAAAAATTTTCAACAATTAATTTTTTTTTCACATTATCATTATTGGGTATTGTGTGGAATATTTTGAGGAAATAAATGAGTTTAATCTGTTTTGCTATAAGGCTGTAAAAAAATGTGGAAAAGGTGAAGCACTATGAATACTTTCTGGATGCACTGCATAATATATATATATATATTCCTTTAAATAGGCTAAAGATTTCTGGTGACTTATGAGTTGTAGTTTGCAACATTGTATGGAAGACTAATATACATGATGTACAGTACAAGAGAGGCAAATATAGAATGCTCTGGAGAGAGAGAGAGAGAGAGAGAGAGAGAGAGAGAGAGAGAGAGAGAGAGAGAGAGAGAGAGAGAGAGATCATTACAAAACGCGCATGCACAAGAAACAGACACATTGCATTTGTCCACCTGTATTACTATCTTGATTTACGAAACCCAGCGCGAGGGAATTAATCAACGGCTCCGTGCGAATGCAGTCAAACAGAAGGCGGTTTTCCTGTTCAACCGTGATACTCTCTTCTTCCTCGGCGGTCATGTGTGTTTCGCATCGCTGTTTCTTCCAGTAAGCACCAATGCATGCATGCACCCGCCTCCCCTGCGCTCTCAAATAGATGGTGCAAGTAAAGATGTCCAAATCTTCCGCAGACCCTCTGTCTGGGGTAGAAAGCGCTTCTCAGTCGCACTATTTCCAGGTAAGACTTTTGGGGGGGATTTGTATACGTTGTCGCAAATGGTTAATTTGCTGCTACTTGTTGTTGAGCAGTCGTGCATTTAAGCGCTTCATATATCCGCAGAGGGCTACAGCTACACAATCTGCCCGTGTATAACGCCTTTATCGCGCTTTTAATCAGACGCGCGCAGTTTTAATGAGGCGAGATGTTGATCAAATGTGTTGATGCTTCTCCATCCGCCAAACTCACATTTCTTGTTTTTTTCCCCTCCGCCCTGAGATTTCACACCGCAACCGAGGCCTCATCTTTCGGGCCAGGCATCAGTAGACACAGTGTTCATTAAACAGTTCAAACACAGTCAATTTCTACTGAGTTTTGATAAACGGGGTTACAATCTCGTTCAATACTCTTATGGTGGACCATTGTCGGTCAAGGTTCTCACCTGTAGCCAACATCCGTCCATTGGTCACCTGTTTCTGCTTGAAATTATAGATTAATCTAGTTGCTGTGTTTTTAACCTGTTAGCTGGTAGGTCTGCGTTAGCTATTATTTGGTTAAAATAGTATTATTTAGTTCATGAATCTTATACGGATAGACCACTTTGGACTGGCATCAACACTGTATCAACTGGTCATACTAGTTCAGGAGGTTTTTTGGGAATTTATATGGTCAGTTAGCATCAAAAGTTAATCATGTTCCTCGGCAGAGCTACCATCTTAACCTGATTTTACAATACGGTCTCAAGGCAGTTTGTTAATTTTGACTTATTTTTCTATTTTGGGGAACTGGTGGCTACATTTTAACCAAATTGCTGTTAGTCAAGATGGTTAGCTTTAGAATAGACAAATTTTCTGTAAACTGAATAGTTCTGAATGGTTCTAAAGAAAAGAAAAAAAAACATCGTATGACGAAGACAAAGTACAGTCAGAATCTAGACTAATTTTGCTGTAACTTACACAAAATAGTTTTTAATCATCCTAATGAAAAACATCAGCTGACTAAAACAAAGTACAGTCAGAATCACTCATTAAAAGTCACTAATTTAATTTCTGTATGGTAGACCCTTACTGGTCAAAACAAAAGTCTCACTTGTGGCCAACACCAGTCCATCGGGCATCTGCTACTGCTTGAAATGATAGATTAAGCTTGTTTCAGTGTTTTTGAACATGCGAGCTGGTTTCTGCACACCTAATTTGGCTATTATTTAGTTAAAAATACTTAATATCTGGTCCAAGCTTGTGTGTAGACCACTTGACTAGCACCAACACTACCAGCTGGTCATTCTGGGGTTCAGGTGGGTTTTTGAGAAACGGTATATGGTCAGCTAGCATGTAAACAAAGGTTAATCACAATTCTCAACAGAGCTACCATCTTAACCTGGTTTTACAATACGGTCTCAAGGCAGTTTGTTCATTTTGACTGATTTGTCCATTTTGGCGAACTGGTGGCTAAAGTTTTAACCAACTAGCAGTTAGTCAAGAGGGTTAGCCTTAGATTAGACCAATTTTGCTCTAACTGACACAAATAGTTCTGAATGGTCCTAAAGAAAAAAAAAATTACATGATGAAGACAAAGTATAGCCATCTAGGGATTAGTATTGTTAAATAAAGTTTAAAAATCACTCATTCAAATCCCTTATGGTAGAGTCCATTGGTCACCTGTTCTTGCTTGAAATGCTATAGATTAAGCATGTTGCATTGTTTCCGAATATGCTAGCTGGATTCTACACACCTAAATTGGCTATTATTTGGTTCAAAAGAGTAAATATCTCCTCCAAGCTTGTCTGTAGACCACTTTGGACTGGCATCAACAGTGAACCAGCTGGTCATATGGGGTTCAGGTCGGTTTTTAGGAAATGGTATAGGGTCAGCTGCATGTAAACAAACGTTGATCACGTTGCTCAACAGAGCTAAGCTGATTTTACAATACGATCTCAAGGCTGTTTGTCCATTTTGACTTATTTGTCTATTTTGGTGAACTGATGGCTACATTTTAACCAACTAGCAGTTAGTCAAGAGGGTTAGCCTTAAATTAGACCAAATTTCCTGTAACTGACACAAAATAGTCCTAAAGAAAAAAACATTAGATAACAAAGACAAAGTAGAGTTAGAATCTAGGGATTGGCATTGATGAACAAAGTTAAAAAGTCCCCCATTTAATTCCCTTATGGTTAACCCTTATTTATATATATATATATATAACCTGTCTCATTTGTAGCCAACATCGGTCACCTAGCTGTTGTTGCTTGAAATACTATAGATTAAGCTAATTCCAGTGTTTTTGAACATGCTACCTCATTTCTATACACCCAAATTGGCTATTATTTGGTTAAAAAGAGTAAATATCTGGTCCAAGCTTGTCTGTAGACCACTTTGGACTGGCATCAACACTGTACCAGCTGGTCATACTGGGGTTCAGGAGGATTTTTGAGAAATGGTACTGTACATGATCAGCTGTTTAGTTTGTAATTAATTGCCAACATACTGTAAATCGCAAAATCACAACTAACATCCTTACCTGATTTTAGAATACAGTTTGTTCATGTTTGACTTACTGTATTTGTGCAGTTTTTGCTGAATTGGTTTGTATTAATATTTACAATCTCATTGGTATGTTTCATTTAATCTTCTTAACACCTCATTTAAAGTTATGTTTAGGATTTTCATGCTTTATCTTTTGCAAATCATGTTTTTAAACATGATTCAATTCAATGAACTCAAATTAAATCACCACTGTTTTAGACTATTTTCTTCAGAAAATGTAGCCATTATTTTAAGATCTTTCCTTAAGAGCTAGTCTAACAAACTAGCAAATAATCAAGATTTAGTAAGCTTCAAATTGTGCATTCAAATTAGACCAGTTTTGATGTAACTGACACAAATAAAAAATATATATAAATTGTCCTAAATAAACAGTAGATCGCTAAAAATAGTTTATTTATCAGTTAAAATCTGAGATTATGTGGATCAGTATTAATAAATGACATGATTCTTTTTTTTTATATAAGCTTATGGTTGGACCCTCAGTGGTCAAGGGTCTCCCCTGTAGCTAACATCAGTCCATCGGTCACCTGTTCTTGCTTTAAATACTAGCTTAAGCTAGTTGTAGTGTTTTTGAACATGCTAGCTGCTTTCTGTAGATCTGAGTTGCATATTAGTTGGTCAAAAATGTTAAAAAATCTTTGCCAAGATAGACCTGTAGACCATCTTGGACAGGCAACAATACCAGCTGGTCATACTGGGGTTTAGGAGAGTATAGGGGAAATTGTGTCTGGTTGGTCAGCTAATAACCAGCTTGTACCATGTATTAATGACCATGTTAGATGATTTAACCTAAATATTACAAAATACATCTATGGCATGTTGTATCTATTTTACATTTTGTTTTTTGCTGGCTAATTCCTATTCATTTGTACAATCTTATCTGTATGACCTATCCTAGCTCATACATTCCTTCTTTCTAAAAATAATGTTAGCTAAAATACCAGACACATGCACCAGTTTTCACCAGACACTTTCTTACAATCACTCCACATGTCAGTTTATGTACTGTAGATATATAGTGTGCCTCAAACAGGTGAGTGGGTTTGACAAACCACCTGTAGAAACACACTCTCTCTCTCCATATGCACCGGACACTTTACTTAAACTCCACCTTACAAGGACTTTGTAACAATGTTCCACAATGTACCACAAATAATGTTGCACTACTTGTTTTCGTCAACCTTAAATATCTATGCACAATATTGTTTTGCCTTATATAAAAATAGTCTGTCTTAGGTTATGTGTACAGTTAGGTGTTTGTAGTATATCCAGCATGTATTTTTTTTTAAAGATGTCTTATAGATGTCTAATAGATGTCTAAACATTGTCTTGGCTAAAACAAGGCTAAATTTGGGCTGTCAGTAAAAATCTATAATAGACGTCTAAGAATAGCCCAAAACCAGACTAGTCATCAAATAAACAGAAATGAATGACTACACATATAAAGTCTGTCTAATCTGTCTATCTATAATCTGACTAGTCTAGTTTTGGGCTATTCTTAGATGTCGATTAGATTTTCACTGACAGCCCACGTTTAGCTTTGTGTTAGCCAAGCTGTCTACGTTTAGATGTCTATTAAACGTCTATTAAACACAAAATTGTTTGCTGAGTAGTTAGTGTAATTAGATCACCTGTATGTTAGTTATATATAGGTTTAAAACAGCTCTTTATGTTCAGTTTTGTGTTCATATTTATGGTTATGTAGTGAAACACATGATTTTGATATGTCTAACAAAAAGACAATAAAGCTTAACTTGACTTGACTCGAGATAGTGATGGATTTTCCAACAGTAACAGTGTCTAATACCAAATCTTAGAGCATCTTCTTCTGAAAACGATTTTAAAAACAAGTCTTAAAGGAATAGTTCACACAGAAATGAAGGTCTGCAGTTCATTTACTCACCATCTGGCCATAGAAGAAGTAGATGGTTTTTGCTGAGGCTGATGTTTAGGTGCACAGGCTTTATCTTAAGGCCTCCAGCTTAAGGCCTCAACACTCTTTAATAAGAAGCAGGAGAGCAACTAAGAGCATCTTGTTCTCAAATCATTCTTTATTATTAACTGTCTGAGTGCTTGTTTTGATGTGCTCGTCTTCTACAGCTTCCACGAAAGTTGCCGAAACGCAAGGGTCGTTTTAAACGTTCAGATGGCAGCACATCTTCTGACACCACCTCCAGCTTCATCAAACGACAGGTAAGAGTCGGCTTTATCCATCAGCGCTTCTGGATTGATCATTATATTGATACCAACGTTTTGTTTGTGTCATTGTCTGGGTTTGTTTGTGTGATCATTGTATGCCCATGACTTGTTTAGTAGCTGCTGAGGTTGTGTAGTTAGAAGATAGTGCTAGCAAAAACTGATTGCATTGGTTTGGTTTTGTCGTCTTGAAACTAGGGCTGTGTTATTTGAATCAAATCGAAATTTAAAACGCTGCTATTAGTTAATGGCAAGAGGCTACAATATGAAATATATATTATGTATTATTTAATTTTCCCTGCCCAAAGCAAATGCGTGTGTGACAGTCTTGCTAGCCAATTGAGTGAGCACACTTTTGTTCTGCCCAACCAGAATTGCACAACCCGAACTACACCTATAATAACAAACAAACAAACAAACAAACAAACAAACAAACAAACAAACAAACAAACAAACAAACAAACAAACAAACAAACAAACAAACAAACAGGAAAGCACTGGCAAGTGGGATTCTGCTGCCTCAAAAGCATTAACAGATTAATTAATATCAAAGAAAAACAGCATTAGTAATACAGGAATATTTTGGTTTCAAAGGGCCCTATCATACACCCGGCACAAGGCGTGATGCAAATGTTATTTGCTAGTTTTAGCTTGATGCAAGTGTCATTTTGACGTTTTGTCAAAAATGTCTTTACAAATGAAAATTAATTAAAGGATGAAAATATTACAATAATTATTATGTTATACATAAATATAAAGTAGGCACAGAGGGGCATTTTTGTAGTTAATTCATGACAATTTACTTTTGTATAATGTTATTATTATTATTAGCAATATTATTTATTATATGCAGATTTTAATTACCTTTTAAAATACATTAAAAAGAGATTGTAATATTTACATAATTGTAATCATAATAAATGTAACTTTTTTCATAATATATTAAATTTAATAACCATATATAACAGTTTAATCAAAGTTTTATTGAAATGTAGGGTAACTGCAACACATTATTTATATTCATATATTCATATTCGGCTTAGTCCCTTTATTCATCAGGGGCCGCCACAGCGAAATGAACCACCAACTTATCCCTTCCTATCCCTTCTTATGCCCTTCCAGTTACAACCGCTGAAACACCCATAAACTCTCGCTTTCTCACACATACACTACAGCCAATTTAGTTTATTCAATTCACCAATTCAATTCAATTGATCCACAGGGACTCGAACAAGCGGCCTTCTTGCTGTGAGGCGACCACTAACCACTGAGCCACCGTGCTGCCTTACTTTTATACATATATGTGTAATTCTAATGACTAAATATACATTTTATAATAAATTTTATAAAGTATAAACATTTTATAATAAAGACTTCAATAAAAAAAATGTTGTAATAGCCCGTAACATCTATTGAACTTTACAATATTTTAATTTCTGTCCTTATTTTGTAAAATATATATATAATTTTAATTAATTTATTCATTTTCTTTTTTATAAAAGTTACACAACACTTTTTGTATTTCTGGTGTATTTTATTGTTATGAGGGTAATCAAGGTTGTTTACAGGTTTTAAACAGTAGGCTTAAATTAGTAAAAAAAAAACGATTTTACCAAAAATATTATTATTGTTATTATATTATTATTATATTATTATAATAATTATTATTATTATTGGGTTGGTATGGTGGCGCAGTGGGTAGCACAACTGATTACAATATCAATATGGAATATTTTTAACAAAAAACTATTACTATTATTACTAGAGAAAGTCTAAAAGTCTTCTATGTCTTTGATTAGATTTTTTTTGATTGATTGATTCCTGTATATACTGTCTTAACAGCGTATGCAATGTGTAAGTATTATTTAATTGCTGATTATAATTATAAAAATATAACCTAAAATGTCAGTCCCATTTGCTCTGTAATTCAGGACGTGGCCACCAGATGGAGGCAGCTCCATTACCACTGTAGCATCTTCAACGTTTTTTAGCAAATCTTTTGAAAACACCAATAGGAAAAAATGGGTTATGATGACAAGCGCACTGAATTTTTTTTGGCACACTTCAATATCCATGTCAGCCTCGTTACATCAATTAATTTCCTCTGTAATGAGTGACCCAAATTCTTCAGTTTGTTCTCCTCGCACTATACATAAGCTCATTCGTCTTTATATTGAGCCTGTGAAATGTGACACCCTCAGAAATCTACTTCAAATTCAGACAAGTTTATAGGCAAGGTATTAAAGGGCGTAAATGAGCACATCAACTGACTTTACATTAATCTGAAGAGTTTGATTGTGTGTGTGTGTGTAAAAAAAGAGAAGGCATATTGAGTGGATTGCTCATTCTTGTGATCAGGAGGTCATGGCAGTTTCAATTTTCTCCCAAAATATCACAGTTCCTAAAATATTAAACTAGTGAAATATTAATGGAACTCATTTGGAATGGAGGCTGCTGGCAAATGTAAAATTCTCACGTTTCCTGTTCGTAAAACGGTGACGTATCTTAAAATAAGCACCTGTGACGTACATTATGGAATCCTTGCATGTATGAACGTGATGGATTGTGTGCTGTGTTTCATAAAGGGACGGTTTACTTAAGCTATAAATCATCAAAGGCTACGATAGCTCAATATTATAGTCATATGTAAAATGTAGCTATTGTTAAAAGGTTAGTTTGACTCAAAATGAACATTTCCCCATCATTTACTCATGTAGTTTTAAACTTTTATGAGTTTCTTTATTCTCACTCATTCATTCATTTTCTTGTTGGCTTAGTCCCTTTATTAATTCGGGGTCGCCACAGCGGAATGAACCATCAACTTATCCAGCACATTTTTACACAGCGGATGCCCTTCCATCCGCAACCATCTCTGGGAAACATCCACACACACACACACACACACACACACACTACAGACAATTTAGCCTACCCAATTTACCTGGACCGCATGTCTTTGGACTGTGGGGGAAACCGGAGGACCCGGAGGAAACCCACGAGAAGGCAGGGAGAACATGCAAATACCACACAGAAACGCCAACTGAGCCGAGGTTCGATCCAGCGACCCAGCGACCACTGCGTCACCCCGTTTCTTTATTCTGTTCAACACAAATAAGATATTCTGAAGAATGTTGGAAAACAGCAGTTATTGACTTTTATAGTAGGAACTAGGGTTGGGTCGATAGATGATGCCATCGTCCATCGCCGATGGCTGATAGACATTATGATGCTAAGTCGGCATTGCGATCCTCCGCCCTACCCCTGTCACAGCAACAACCCGTTAGCGAAAAAAACACACTTAGGCCACGTGTACACTCATACACCCATGCACAACGAGACGTTTATTTGCTCGCGTTTTCCATCGACGTTTAATGCCTCGTGACTAAATAAAGGGCAGCAATGTGATCGTCCACACCAACGCGCAAAACAGCAGGCGTAAAAGCGCCAATTAAAAAAAAAATGGCTCATGCTTGTTTTTTTTGGTTTTGACTTGCCGCGGTTTTTGAAAAACCTTCAACTCGTTTTCTCGTGTGTTCCTGAAGGAGCAAGCACGAGCATGTGGTTTCCATCACCATTTTCTAATGGGACCATCGACCGTTTTCTCAGAGGATGACAAACGAAAAAATCATTGCTGCAGTTCTGAGACAAGTTTATGGAGAAAAATGAAAAACGTTGCAGTGTTTTGGTGCGCCGTGCAATTTGGGGTAAATATCTAATTGCGTTATTTATTTATTTATTTTTTGACAGATTTTAAATTAATTTGTGATTTAATTTTGTAGTCAAGCTTTAACTCAATCAGCTGTGTAGTAGCTACTTACTGCTTAAGCGTAGTAAAGTGCAGTGAGTGTTTTTTTTTTTAAAAAGGAACTGAAAAGATAATAACTTAACATTTAATCAAATTTGTTTGTAAATGTTTAGAAATAAAAAAAAAATTTTCTCTACAACAAACCTTTCTGTAAACAAGTTGAACTTAAATTAGAGAAATAGTGTAGCTTATTATAAAAACAAAAAATATATAATTACAGTATTATAAAAATACAGAACACTACTTACATGGCTGAAACAACTCTGAAATTGTACTTTGCTGTTGCTTGCTACTAGATTGAGTGTCACTGGAAATACTTTCAGTTGAATCTTTTGCAAGACACTCATCACTCACACAGTTGGCTAGTAAGACTATCACACACAGATGAAAGTCAAGCAGTTGCTCTGGGTACTGGAAAATGAATGATACAAATACATTTCATATTGCCGTCTCTTGCAATTAGCTAATTGAAACTTTTCGATTCGATTAATCGCACAGCCCTAGCACTGTGTTTGTCTGAGGTAATTAGTCTACCGGTATTACTGAAGTGTGAAGCAGATTAATTAGTTCAACTCACAAGAATCGTGGTGCGCTCGTGGCATTCAGAAAAGTACAGATGTTTTTCAACTAGATGTATCTGGAAAATGTGTGTGCGTCACGTGCGCCGTTTGCACAACATGTGCGTGTCATACAAGTCATGTGCCTCCATCGGAAATGATAAACTTACACCCTAAGCTTATTGGCATTGCTTCCAAGGCTCACACTCAGCAACCACATTTCATGGTTTCCGCTAAATTCATACTTCCATGGCGGGGCGCCACACCAAAATTTATCCTGCCACGGCTACATTACAACTTTTCATTCAAAACATTGTTGTGTTTTTTTTAATAGCGGGTGATAAAAGCAACAAAACTTATTAAAAGGTAAGTGAATTATGACAGCGCAAACTTTTCTGCAGCAGTAGTGCTGTGCGTCAATTGTTAAACCCTTTAAGGTTACGTGCTGACTGACTTACATGTGTGTGATGCGTAAGCCCAGCAAACACGACGTATAGCCGTTTCACTTTACTTGACGCATTAATACCTCGCTGCAGGTCTATTGGAGACATTCATAAATATTCCTAACAAATATAATAAATGTTGGAGACATACTTGTTAAATAAACGCACTAAATCGGACTTCAGCAGTGTTTA